AATGGTCAAATGAATTCTCCGTGAGTTGAGGCCCGCTCGCACATGCGCCCTCCCACTTGGAGGGCGGTGTTACTGGATGTCAGCTTACAGGTTGACATTTTTCTCACTTTGAGAATGTGTTCCCCTTCATCTCCCTCGCTTGTTTGACCCTAAAGCTTACTCCCCTTGAGGGATCCTTCTGTTGCTTTCACATCTTGTTTTTAATGCTCTGACGCTCGCTGGCGTGTGTCTGGGTAGGGCTTTTCCTCTCTGTGTGAGTGTCTTTAGTTGGATGCTGACTCTGGAGTTTGGTGCCCTTACGGAGCCTCCCCGTTTTGCATTCTGCAGCTCCGGCTCAGCTTGCATTGGCCTTCACGCTGTGCTCCCATGGAGCCGGCCTTCCGTCTATGCTGACTCATTCATTCACTCGCTCCCTCTTTTTTTATAGTTGATTTGTTTCTTTTCTCTCTGAAAATGTTTACTCATACATATGAAAGACAGAGGGAAGGAAAGGCCCTCTCCGCTGGTTTACTCGCAGTGCCAGCCCGAGACAAAGCCAGGAATCAGGAGCCCCGTGCAGAGGCAGTCAGTTGACCAGTCCCACTGCTTTCCGTGGCTGCACTGGCAGGAAGCTGGAGAAAGGAGCAGGTCCGGTGTATCATGTTCAGCTGCTCGGCTCTGGGTGAGGAAAATTCATTTCAGAGTTTTATTTTTCCTCTCAGAATGCTTTTTCATGCTTTCCAAATTCTACCTGCTTTGTTGTACAATCTATCTATCCTCTCCAATATTTTTTAATATCATCTTCATGTATGCACACATTAACATTCTATGTCTATTTCACTATTTTCCATGACTCCAGTTAAGATTCTTTGGTATTTTTGTTTGGTATCTTTGACGGGTGTCTATTTTTGTTTGTTTGTTTGTTTGTTTTTCCCTCTCTTGCTAGTGGTGGTTCATTTCCCTTTTGTTTTAAGAACATTTTATGGTGCATCTGTGTTCCTTGAGATTCTAGAATGTTCTCTGTGACTCGGGTGCACACAGGATTGGCTTTGATGGCCACTTTCACGCCTGGGGGTTATCCAGAGGAATCTCCCAGCAGCCGGAAGTCAGTCTTTCTGCTGCTCCCTGTTCCCCTCCCCCATGTGTCTGAGCTCTTGTTCCTTTGCTAGGCTTTCTCGGTTTACCTGTTGCTCCCATTTCAGATCATACCTGCTTCTTTCACGTGTGCGGAGGCCTGTGGGCATGAGGGTGACCGACCGTGTGGGATTCCCTACTTGCTCTAGGTTGCAGTGTACTCGTGGACACAGGACCAGCCATGTGCCTGTCTGCCACTCAGCTGTCAGCAGGATCTACCAGTCACCTCTCCTCTACCTGGTCTTTTTTACTGGAGTTGGTTTGGGACAGAAAGGTCGCATTTGGCTCACATCCCCATGAATTCTGTCTCCTGCTTTGCATGCCTGGCAAAAGATAGGCAGAGGGGGCACAGCTCCCTTGCATGGTTGCTCATTTGTTGCAAGTATCACTCACTCTTGGCTTGAACTAATGGGAGCTCTCACTTTTTATGCTTGTTATTTCCCATCTATTTGATAAGAGAGAATGAATACCAGCTTTTATGTAGCACATGGTCTGAGTAAGCCACGTGCTTGGAACTTTCAAAAGGCCTAGTAAAATCAGCTGGCTTTAATTTATGATAATTGTATCGTTATCCATAAATGCATCCAACACTGACAAATGGCAGGTGTTTCCCACGTCTTCTGTGTTCATGTTAATGAATGATTTTTCAGGAGTGGTTACAGATTCACCTTCCCACATGTTTGGGATGCCTGGCTGCTTTGAAGCATGTGGGTTCCTTTCATAGTAACCGCTGCACAGGGACATATTGGACAGCGAGTCGGTGCTGCTGGCTTGCGCCATCGGGAATCACACTGCGCCAAGTGATTAATCATTGAAGGGGCTTGTCACTTCTCGCTGAGCGTTGTGTGCAATTTATGGATTTTGAGCCCATGCTAAAATCTCTAGGAAAGTCGATCTCACCAGTGAGGAGGAGATGCCACTCTGAATTCTCTCTCCTGACCGTTGTATCTGCATCTCCTGGTGCATCCAGGAATACACACATTGAAATCAGTGTTCCTCCTCAGGGGCCACCTTGGATACACCTGGGTGTCCTCTGAGCTTCTCTCTGGAATGTACTTGAACCAGGCATATTCCAAACAGCCTGGGCCCGGGTGGTGGCAGGGCGCAAGACTGGCTTGCGGGCTGTTCTCTCGTTCTTGGGGTCTCCTGAAGATGAAAGTTCCAGTTTGGGTCTAGTGGGTCTGGAGCATCTCTCTCTGAGGCTGTTTGGTTTTTTTTTCCCCCCCTGTTAGAGACAGAAAGGAATTTCAGGCATGAAAATTTTCTTCTTGTGGCAGTGAATCCAAGATTTAATATTATTGCTTTGGTTTTAGTGTATTTCTCCACCACCTCCTCTCCCAGCCTTTCATTTCCAAAGACTTACCAAGGAGGAGGAAGGGGGCAAGGAACACCCCTCACGCTTCAGCCCAGGGACACTAGGAGTTGGCGCGGTAGCACCCTTGCCATCCTTCGCCCACTCCTGGTCTCTCACTGACCTGCCCTGCTGTCTGCAGAGACCAGGCTCTGCTGACCTCTGGCACCGAAGGGAATCGTAAGCCCCAAGTTACTGTAAGAAAACAGGGATTCAGAACTGAATTGATTTGTTCCAAGGCAGGCACAGCCCCACTCACTCCTGCTCATGTGGTGGAGTTCACTGTCAAATTGCTGGACTGCAGTTCAGTGGGTTAATTAATTTTGCATTTTACAGCAGTTACCTTCAGCAACAGAGATCAAGGAAAACCTAACGAGACTTTCATTTTCATTTGCTTTCATTAACTCTCAATAGAGATTGGTTCCCTCTGCCAAGTTTCCTGTCTGGGAGCACCTCAAAGCCATCTTCCCGCAGTCGCTCCTACTCCCGAGGCGTAGCTGAGGAGCGAGCAGCAGGTGGATAGCGCGGAGGCCCAGCTCAGGGGGCTGTGTTCCGTGGCAGGTGCTTGAGGAATCCCCCCCCTCGAGGCCCTGGAACCTGTGCTCTCTGCGGGGCTTTCCTCAAAAACCTCCTGACCCTGGAAGACAAAGAAGGCTCAGCACACGGTTCTGACAAAGACAGAGCGGGCAAGGGAGGAGGAGTGATGGTCTCTCTACGACTGGGTGCTGCGGGGTTTTTATTTAACCCTCGCATGAGGAAACCAAGGCTGCAAGAGGTGAAACATACCTCAGAGTCACCAGCGTGCAGTCCCAGGAACATGAAAGCCAGGCTTTTTCTCTAGGGGTCTGAGGAGGCGCTATGGATCCACTGCCGTGGGAGCTGGGACACGAGCTGGGACGCCCCCAGAACCCAGCGCAGGTCGTATTTGTTGAGGCAGCCAGCAGAGATGAGGTTTGGGTACTGGCCCTATGCGCATGTTGCAGGTGGGCATCCCATTGCGTGTTCTCACACCACGATGTTCGGCAGGCTGTCACGGTGCTAGAAGCCCCAGACAGGCTCCCTGCTGTCCACCTCCCGCTGCATGCACCCTTTGTCTCAGGAAACCTCTCCTTCTCACCACAGCTGCCACTGGGAGCTCCCCGAGCCTCGGGGAACCCTGGGAAGGAGAAAAAAGCCCTGATCTCCTTAGCAGTCCTGAGCCTGTGGCTCTCAGCACTATTGCCCTACCCCCAGAGTGGTCTGGTGACTGGCTTCATTCCCTGAACCCCACACTTTGCCTCCGCTTGATTCCACCTACTCTCCCACTTCAATATAAACGCTGAAACTCCCCCAGGCGCCCAGTACAGTGCTGGCCAGGAGGGACCCTGACGTCATAAAGACACCCTGACAGGAAGTACAGATGTCAGATGAGTCTTCAGTTCATGAGGATGGTGCAACGTGCTGTCTGCAGGGAAAGCGTGCTACCATCGTCCCCGGAAGTGTGCCGAGCTGGGCGGGCTCACAGCAGACAGCCGCTGAGGCACAGTAGAACATCTCTCAGTTCTACCCAGATTGTCCACCTCATGGCCAAGGGCAGGACACTCCCTCTTTCTCCCTCCAAGCTCTGAGTGACCGTTCTGCCCCACCTACCCCTGGCATATCAGAAATAGAGCTGTTAGACCCAGCTACACAGAATGTGGGGCCTGACCAGCAGCAGGTGCTCACTGCCTTCCTGCTGGGCATCACTGGTCCAAGCACTTACAGGCACAAACTCCTTTCCTCGGCACACCAGTCCTCTGTGATGCGGGGATGGTTCGCTCTTCCCATTAAGCCCCTGGGAGGCACAAGGGAAGTTGGCGAGTGTGCATGCTATGGGCTCTGATAAGTGGCTGAGAGTTTGAACTTGAGAGTCAGGCCTTGATTCTGATTGTGGGTAAGGAAGTCAAGAAAGTTTTTCAGACCTCACTCTCGGCCACTATAAAAATAAAGTTGTGGACGTCAGCTCATTCATCCAGGCTGATTGCGCAGGGCACCAGCAGGGGGCACCCTCCCAAAAAAGCTCACCACTGGTCTGTGATCCTGGGGTGACTTGCTTCCTTGGCACGTGGTGGCATCTCTGCCACAGGCCTGTCTGACCTCCCTGAGGTCACTGCACCTCTATCAGGTGCTCAGTGAAGGACTGAGGAAGGAGAATGCGCAGTGAGAAGTCTGCTTATGATGGAGCAGCCTGAGAAAAGAGCATCGTGTTTGTGATTTTTTTTTTCTGTTTCCTCCTCTGAAGTCCCCAGCTGGCACTGTGTGCCTCCTTAGCCCTGCGGGTCCACAGACCCAAGGACAGCTTGATTGTCCTGCTTTAATGTAAAAGGTGACACGCTGCTGTCACTTGAGAACGTGTCGTTTGGATGGCTCCCCCACACACATTGAGTAGAGTTGCCATCAGTAAGCAGGGATGGGCCCGCAGTTGGCGAGCCGATGGGCACAGACAGGTGGGCTGCCAGGTTGGTCCTCAGACCCTGTGTAATCGTGTCCCCCCCTTCTCGCCCACCCCACCCCGCAGGAACGCCTTCGGCAGCTGCCGGACGAGGACCGAGAGCGAGCCGTCGTGTGGCTCCCCCGTGGTCAGCGGAGACCCCAAGGAAGATCACAACTACAGCAGTGCCAAGTCCTCCAATGCCCGGAGCACCTCGCCCACCAGCGACTCCGTCTCCTCCACCTCCTCCTCCTCCTCCTCGGCCGATGACCACTACGAGTTTGCCACAAAGGGGAGCCAGGAGGGCAGCGAGGGGAGCTTACACAGCCACGGGAGCCCCAGCGACACGGAAGAGGACGACGGGAAACCGGGCCAGAAGGAGGTTAAGGATGCTGGCGGGGACGGCGGCTTCGCGTCCCAGCACAAGAAGCGCCCGCACGTGGCCAAGGCCAGGAAGGTCCCCAGCGACACGCTGCCCCTTAAAAAGAGACGCACGGAAAAGCCGCCCGAGAGCGACGATGAGGAGATGAAGGAGGCGGCCGGCTCGCTCCTGCACTTGGCGGGGATCAGGTCCTGTTTGAATAACATCACCAATCGGACGGCAAAGGGGCAGAAGGAGCAAAAGGAAACCACAAAAAATTGAAAAACAAGTCACTGATTTGTTTTGAACTTACGGCCATTTGGTTTCAGCATGTCAGGAGATTTCTAATGATTTGTGGCAATATCAGTAACTTTTTTTGTTTGTTTGTTTGGTTTTCTTTCTTTTCTTTTCTTCCTTTTTTTTTCATTTAATTTGCCCCCGCTTTTCCTTTATCTTGGACCCTTAAGAATTTTATTTTAAAGGAGATTGAAGCCATAGAACTCATGTTGACACTCAGCTGTTTTACAAAAGCTTTTCATTCTCTGAAGACAAAAACCGAAAAAGCCAAAACGATGACCATTGCTTCCTGCAGCTTGTCAGAAACACGTGGCTGAATCCCCAGGGATGTCCACGGCAATGCCACGGCAGTGCACGTGCAGCACCCAGAAGGCACGTGAGCAGAGCCACCAGCGTGCAGGCCCAGCCCTCAGGTTTACCGAGTCAGAACATCCACCCAGGCGGGTTCCGTGTGGAGAGGAAAAGAAAGCGGTTAGCAGAAAGGGATCCATTGGTCCCACTAGAAGCAGACCAAACCCATGGCACTGGGCATCCCACCATGCCAGGACAGCCCTTGGCACTGCCCACAGCACAGGCACGTGGCCCCCAGGCCTCTGCACCACGTAACCCTGAGGCCTGGTGACAGTGCCCCGGGGCAGACACCTCCCAACACCTGTTCTGGAGGATGAGGATGTCCCCCAAAGCCATAAGCTTGAAGGCTGGCCCTGTGCACGCGCATGCACACACACGCACACGCACACACACACACACACACACAACACACCAAAATGAGAGCAGAATGGATGCTGATAGCATGCGCTGTCTTCTGAAGTGCCCACAGGCACAGCAATCCCGGTTGTGAAGTCGCAGGAGCTGTCAAGGAAGGAACTAATGGTAGCAGTCGTCTTGTGTCTAAGCTTTTTGATCCAAGTGGGGGAGAAAGAAAATACAAAACAACAACAACCAAACTCCCAGGACCTGCAATTACTATTCTGGTGTATTTTTTTTTTTTTCAAAAGAGTGAAGGCACATTGACAGATAAGATCAATAAATTAAATGTGGCAAAAAAGAAAAAAATTACTCCCATGTTGCCCTCAAAATGGAGTTTCGAAATTAATGCCAGGTTCATCTTTGCAATACTCAGTGGTTTCCACATCCAGCCCGTGTGGCCGGCAGAAATTTATGATCCATAATGCATGGATTCCTTTGAAGAGAAAAGGAAACAAAAAAAAAAAGAAAAAAATCACGAAAACAAACTTTTTTTATTCAAAAATAACAAAGTTCTTGTACGGTAAATAATGTATTTAGCATGACGCATGAATTATTTTCATATAAATATAGACAATAGAGAAAAGACTCCTCTGATTTGTAAGCCCTTGGGCTTTGAGGTTCTTTCGGTTTTCTTCCTCTTTTCCTTTCCATTTTTCTTTCTTTTACTTTTTGTTGGGTTTTTTTTTTTTTTCCTCCCCTCTTTTTTTCCCCCCCCGGGTTCTTTTGTTTTGGTTTTTTGAAGCAGGTGTTTAAGGTTTAACCTTCTTCAGGGACAAATTCTGACTGTTGGGGAACTTACTCTGCAATATAAAAAATATCTCGATGCTCTGGTAGGGGCTTGGATGGTGAACTCTGCTGCCTTGTCCGCACTCAGCCCCCGCCCCTCTCTGATTCTCTGTTGAAAGTGTGTTGTTTCTCTTTGTCTGTACGTGTTTTAACATGACGCAATAATTTGAGGGCAAACTTAGTAGTGAGTGTGTATGATAGAATCAAGAGAATTATGGGACGCTGACTTGAGAGAAAATAATTCCCGTGATTGGGTTCTAGGAAAAAATACAATAAATAAAAAGGCAGTAAATACTTATGCAAATTTGCCAGGAGAAGGAGAAACCTGCTAATGGGCCTTATTAGGTGAGGGTAGGAGATGGGGTACATGTGAGGGAGGAAGTGATGCCCAGGGGTTAGGAAGGCCAGCTTTATTGCAACAGGGCCAGCCTTGTCTACCACCCCAGCACATCAACCAGCCAGGAATTAAGACCACTAGATTTCAAGAGCTGAATTTAGATGACCACACGGTGTCCCGTAAGCCAGAAAACCCGTTGTCTTTGCCTGAAAATATTAACAGCAGAGAGATCCAAAGAGAACTCTGACATCCTAATGGGTGGGAATGTGGAGGCAAAAACACCCACCAAGGTGGGTTCTGATGGTGGGCGAGAGCGAGGAAGCTGTGGCCATCACGGATTGATTTCAATGGGGGCAGTTGTGGGCCAAAGCCAATCCAGCAGCCAGGACAGTGGGAATAACTGGTGCATTCCCAGTCACTCATCTTTGGGGTGCTGATGAGAAAACGGGGGGGGGAGAGTACACCTGTGCAACAGGTCGGACTCTGCCTGAACCTGCAGACTTCTGGCATGTTTCATTCATTCTCTGCTCCCTCTGGCCAGAGATCTGGCACCCGGAGATCCATCCAATCCCACAGCCGTGGAAGCTGAGCAAGCATCATTGGTTCATGCTGTCACCTGACCAAACCCCAAAGGACCCCCCATCTCTACCCTCCTCCCCATCCCTCCATGATGAGGAGATTCCAGCCTTTCTCTCCTGGGAGGCAGAGATGAAACCTTCAGGGCTGTTTCTGGCAGGGGACCTCTTCCAGTGAAAACCCCCACAGTGGGCTGTCTCCCCTCATTTTGTTCTTTCTAAAGGGGCAGAGGCTTCTTTTAGAAAATAATAAGATGCAATGTGTGTGATTTACTTTTCTGATCTCTTTGAGAAATAGATAAATATCTTATACAAGTGTGTTCTTAACTCCGAAACTACTCTTTTTGCATAAATACCTCATCGGGCAGCTTTCTAAGTATTTTCCCGAGTCTCTTGTGGCACCTTTCTGGGATGTGCTTGGGAGACTTTTCGGGGGAGACTTCAGTGAGGGTACTTTTTCTATTTTTCTTCTGTTTTTGGAGGCATACACATTATGCATAACCAAAACAAATGGCTCAATTGTGTTGAACTTCGTACTTGGATTGTTGAGAACAAGAAGTATCTGTGTATGTGGCTGTCAGTACAGAATCCATGCAAGAACCAGGTGTCCACTTTGTTCAAGCCAAGGGGCACGAGGCACCCTCTCTTATCCCCTCCTCCAAGAGCAGTAGATAATTTAAGCACAAGCCTATTTGTGAAAGAATATTTTGCTTAAGTGTGTTTCACTCTAGTCTTGGAATTCCTTCCCAAGCGTCAGGTGTTCTTTTAGCTTCCAAACTAGCATGTCGTATCCATTAGTCTAACCAATCGCCTGAGTACCGTTAGGGGTGGGCCATTGTGGCTGCGTTTCTCCCACTGGGAGAAGTAGTGGTTCATGTGTCATTTCAGTATCTCTCATCCTCATCTGGGGCAGGGGGTGGGGAACTATAGCAATATTTAAAGATGTTTGGGAAACAACCATGAACACATCAGCACCGTGACATCGCCAGTGGCTTGCTATCGAGTCCTCAGACACATGTAAGAGAAAGAGACCCTGCAGCTCTTTCTGCTTAAGTGATCTACGCATCGACAGCTTCTTTTCATCCTTCTGTGATTGTCTTCAGCCTTCTAGTGCTATGTGGAAGCGTTTGCATCATGGATTCTTCCCAGCCTTATATCCTAAGCTCCTATTTCCCTACCCTCTCACTCACTATGCTTTCAAGAGTTCTTTGGGCAAGCCGTTCATCTGGAAGGAAAAATGAACCAAACCCAAATGTGGACGGTGGTTTGAGAAAGCCATGGCCAAGACTACAGTGGCAGGTTCCGTCTTGGGGCTGAGTTTTGGGTTTTAAGAAAGAATACACTTGGATGCCTTTCCCAAGAATGGACTTCTTTTGTGTCCATTGTTTGCTGGAGGGGTGGCGGGGGGCACGGCAGTTGCTACCATGGGGCATTCTGGGAGGAGGTCATGGCATTGAGGAGAGTGGGCTGTGGAGCGTGAGTGCGGGTGACCTCTGTGCCCAGCCCAGAGTCCTACAACCCATCAGGACTTCTCCATGCCAGATGCTCCCGACTCAAGGTTCAATCACTCCGCTCCAGGTGAGTGGATCTGCAGCCTCTCGCTGAAGGGCTCATTGCTGAAGGAACCAGAGTTATGTTCAAGTGACCTAAATGAGAGGGTTTTCCTTATATGGTTGGATTAAATTCGATGTGATTTCTCTTTCCCTTTAAACTTTATGCAGGTTGGGACTCATTTCTCTCTCTGATGGGTCACAGCTGCCCAGATGTTGTGATTCCTTTTTTCTGTTTCTGTAGAGAAGTATTTTTCTTTCCTCTTGAGGATATTTTTTTGCCACCAAAAGAAAACATCAGAACTCTGTGTCCCCTTGATTGTGACTTGCAGTGTTGACAGTTAGTCCTTCGTGTCACAGGTCCCAGCCCGCCGATACTATATCAAACACTGTTATGCACATAATGCAGCACTGTGATCTAATTTAAATAAGACTTTTTTATTATTTATACTACTATATATAATATACATCAACACTTTTGCTATATAACCTAAGTGATAAACCCTCTTTTAGTTACCTGCCAACCTCTGGACTTTGGTTTCTTATTGCAGTTGACGCAGTTACCCTGTTGTAATGGTGTCTTTTCTTTCCTTTTGTAACGGAATGTGTAAATCAAAGTATATACATTGTGTAGTGTTCTCGTTTCTGGAGATTCATGGGGATTTACACATGGCATTCAGTGTTCTGTATAGATCTGCCTACCTTTGTGAATCCATCTGTTACGCCCTCTTTGAGAGAGCACCAGCAATGGTGGTTAACTCCCATGTCCCCCCCCCTCCTCTTTCTCCCCTCTCTCTCTCTCTCTCTCACTGGTTATTCTTGAATTAAGCACAGACTCATCAGCTCGGTTGCTTTATCATGAATAATGTGTGTGACCTTGCAATTCTTCCACACTTCAGCAAACAAGTGCTAGCTTCACTGACCAAAAATTACCGAAGGAGAACACAATGTTTTTAAACAATCCATCTTCTAATGGCCGAAACCGATGTGTCTATGGTGCTGCCTCTTGCTGTTGTATTTCTGAAATCAGACCCATGTGAAAGATCATTTCTGACTGTGACATGCTCACAAGTACCCTTCCTGTCATTTTGTTATTAGCGTTGAAATCCGACTATTTATTTGGAACTTATACAACAGTGTGTGTTTCCACTGTATTGCATTTGCAAAAGCGGAGAACAGCCATCTCCCACTTTTGCAAATAATTGATACTCCATATTGGATTCTCAAAGACTTCGATATGGTGAACCTATCAAACCTAGAAATCCTATTTTATCCTTATGACTGTGGCCTCAGTTCCCCAGCCCCTTACCCGTCTTAGATGAAACTTAGCACACTTTCAGTTATGTAACTATTCAGCATTTCTTGAGTATTGTTGAGTGTTGTTGAGACCATCTGAGCTCATAGCTGATTCAGTAACCAGTTCCATGTCGTGTCATCACACTCACTACTTATACTGCCATGGTGAAAATGTGGAGGAAAAAAGTATCCGTGTGTCTGGGAAGCATATACACTTGTACATTTTTTTATACTCTGACTCTGTAACATTTCTTAAGTTGTGTTTTTGTTTTACAGAAAAAAAAGAGTGATAAAGCAATCAGGAGGCCAAGAGGTTTACTGTTGTTGCTCAGAGTCATCTGACTTTTGCTGGCCAATAGACCTATGTGGCCAAGTAAATTTACAGGAGTAATCATGTTTTTTGAAAGCCAATAATTTTTTTTTTCTGTATGAAACTGCCAATATCATGAATAGAAAGGGAGAACCATAAAGGAACAGGAACGTGATGCTCACTTCTGTTTGTGTTAACCTAAAGAAGCAGTGTGGAGACAGACAGGTGCCAGCAGCCGAACCCTAGGGACTCGGTGTGTTGCTTCGGAGGCATCCATACTTGCATCTTGCATTTTTCATGTGTAATCATATTGCCAAAGACAAACTATTTCATCATTTATTGTAAATAACACTTTTCCCCAGACCTACCATAAAGTCTCTGTGATGTATTGTCTTCCAGTTGCAATAAAAAATGACTGAGTTGCATCAATTGAAGAGAAGCTGTATGTGGTAGTGTGTGTGCCGTGCCTCCCTATGCAGAATCCAAGCAGTAAAAACCATTCCTGTTTCAGCAGAGTGTGGGCATGCAGTTCTTTGCTGTGTTGCTTGGGAGGGTTTGGCTGCCCTTACAATAGCAATCCACGCTTGGATTGACAATCTGTCCACAAGCCAGGCTTACCTGTGAGAGTCCAGAGAACTCTGTCCCTTGGAACTGTTGGCGAGCAGGCCTCCTGTCTTAGGATCTGTGTGTCAGGGGAAGCTTGTCTTTCAACGGGAAGGTGTCTACCAATAAATTGCCATTGTATTTTGGAACCAGAGTGTCCCTAGCTCTTGGGGGGGCGTTCTTACGATGATGTTCCTAACCCTAATATCTTCATCTGCCAGAGCTAACTCCACTACCACTCAGGGACCCAATTCATCCCCTGTGCATGAACACACTCCAAGAACTGGCAGGGAGAGTGTTGAGAACAAGCCCTGGGTCTGAGGGAATGATGACACACGGGATTTCTTCTCATGCCTTGGGTGATCGTTTTGGTTTCCTGAATGCCCTATCCGCAGGCACCTGCAGCAGTAATCGGAGCCTGTCGAAGGCCCCTGGATTTGCTGGCCCCATCTCCACCTCCAGAATGCTCAGGTGGTGTCTCCTGACCTGGTGAATTTCCTGGTGTGATTTCCCAGGAAGGCCTTGCATAGCCCCAGGACATTCAGGGTGCTGTGTGGTCTGTTATTGCTTCCTCCCCCTGTTCTCACGTGGAAATGACCTTCAGAACTGTCGTGTGTCCTCCTGAATGACAAGTCTTCAGTAGATTTTGTTGAGATGAAGAGCTGAAGTCATTTGGTGCCAAACCTGGTGAATCAGATCATTGGCCCATTTGGGTAATGCTTAAGGTCAAATTGCAGAAGTGGTTACCGTGATGCAACACAGACCCAGGACTGTAAGCCGTCCCCAGGGCAGATGGAAGGGCCTCCAGTTAGATCCAGGGTGCTCGTGGGCCTGCCTGAATTCGGATGTGACAACATTCTTCCAAGACCACCTAGCCTGGAAACACACGAAGGGCTTTGGGCAAAGGTGAAGGCCGCTGTTCCTCCCCAGCTTTGCTTCCTCTTCTGACCATTGGCCTGATGACTTTTAAAAATCTTTCTAGAAAGTTCTGAACAAAGAGGGCATTTTCAGAGAAGTCTGGATACATCCAAGAGACTTCAGTTTACAAACTAAAAGGCTGTATCTGTCGCTCTTCTCAGGTCCCCTGAGAATTACAAGGTATTACATATGCACAAGTGTAGGTTCATTTTGAACAGCTCCCCCCTTTTGGGCCCCCCCCCCCATACACACACAGATGATAGAAAACCAGAAATGTTGTGAGCTGGATAAGGGCAGATTTTAAAAGATTCAATTACAAGTGACTGAATCTGTTTATTCAGTGTTGGCCCTTTGTTTTGTATAAATACATCCTTCTGGAACCATGTGTTTAAATAATGTGTGTAAGTAGTAGTACCTGAGTTTCAAATCCTTCTTAGGCATTTTCGGATAAAATCGTCTTAGCAACTTGAGAAGTGTTTTTTTATGTTACTCCATAATAAAGTCTTTTCAGAGTGTCTGGCTAAATCTCTCCAATACAGCAATTTGAGAGGACTCAGGAATTCTTTTTTTCTCATGTGCTACACATCAAACAGCCTCCTAAAAGTGTGTAGCCTGGAGGGAGTGCCCCACGACAGGGAGAGTGACAGTGAGACCAGCCTCATTCCTTGTTCTGCGACAGTTTCTTCATCGCATGGGCCCATACTGTCCCCAGGAGAAAACTCAAAGGGATGAGCATGAGTGGTGAGTGCAAAGTCCCCGTTCTAGAACCAAACACCCACACACAGAAAGGGATTTGCCTGGGATGGCAAGGCAAGTAGCAGAGCTGGACACAAATGGCATTATTTCCTGTCTTACTATTATTTCCATCTATGACACAACGTCTGACTGTTTATGGGAAAATGGAATTAAGAGATGAAACTTATTTTGGTGCAAAAATAATAAGATCCACACTTTTTCCATAATGCACGTCTCCCATAGGCTTTCTGAAGAGCCCTCATGGTGTATACTTGTTCATATTTTACAACTGGCAATTTTGGCATAAACATTAAACATCCTATCCTATGTACTTGCATGGAGCTATCATGAGAAACACTCCTAAAGGGATCAGCTATTTTAAGTGCTTTCTCTATGATGAGTTGTACTATGATGAATGTGTTCAGGCCTATGGCAGTTTGTAAATTTTCAACCTGTCCTTTGATTAGGTAGCCTATTGGACTGTTGCAACAAAAGTTTTATCAGTGGTGTAGCATCTGACACAAGGGCTTTCCAAAAAGTTTCCATGTCAACAGCAATAAAAGCAAACACTAATTTCACTGCACTCTCACAGGTACTAGGTGTTATTTTCATCCTTGATATTTGCTAGTCAATATAATACTTTGTTGTCACTTGAAATGTAATTACTAGCAAAGGTAGATTCTTTCCCACATATTTTCCAATTATCTTCTATTTCCTGAATCATCTAGAACTGCATCCTTGAGCGTTTGGAAGAAGGATATAGAATTACTTTCTTATCTGAACGTCGCTGATGAGTCCATGATGGCCAACATGCCACCTGCCCTGGGATGGGCCGTTCACTTTCAGACACCCCTGATTGTGCTTACTTAGGGTCTCCCCAAAAATTTCACCTGAAGGTTCCTCAATCCACCTAGAAGGCCACAAAAATGCAGACTGAAATCATCTTGTGTATGGCATCCATTTATGGACTTAAATAAATTTCTCCCTGTGTTTTCCACCTGCCATTTCTCTCTTCTGGATACTCTCCAGTAAATGAGCAGAACTAGAAGCTAAATACAAATTCCAGATACAGCCTGATGCTAAGAAATTGTCACCTCCACTCTAGATTCTGTGTGAGAGGATTCACACAGTTCATAGGAAACAGAATTTAAAAAGTCAGTTTTATTCAACACAGAAGTTTTTTGAAATCATGTATAATTTTTTTTGTAATATACATTTCTTGTGAACTGTTGCAAGACCCCTTGTGTACCTATTTCTCCAGCCTTTCTACACCAAAACGAACTTATCTTTCATTTCCATTATCCATGAATTACTTAGAGTACTCTAATGTTCGTTGTGATCAAATCACCGATTCGCACTGGACATACTCCTAAGGAAAGTCTTCACTGATGACATCCTTGTCTAGACATTCATTCCACGTCAAAGTGTAGGACTTTATTGCCTATGGAGTTCCACCTGTTTGGAGTTGGCCCATTGTTGGAGCAGCTCCGATTGACAGTGAGCTGGGAATGAAAGGTCCTGGTTCTGTCATCCAAACACCTGCTGTCTTAGCTTATTTTCTGTTGCTAAAAACAACAGTTCTGGGCTAGAATTTAGGGGCCACATCAGGTCATAGTCTGTGCTGGCAGTTCGGAGGCAGTCCAGGGCATCCATCCTGTGGCAGGAGAGGGACTGCAAGACCCCCCCGCCCAACAGACTTTTACTGCATATTTTCCACATAATCCGGTGACTCATTAATCCACTGATCATGGCAATGGATTAATCCATTCATGTGGGCAGAGCCCTAATCACCTCTTAAAAGGCCTGCCTGGTCTAACGTCTTAATTTCTCATAATGGAGATTAAATTCTAGCATGCTTCTCAGATGAGACAAACTATTCAAACGGAAACACTTCCCTTGCCTCCAAGCACTGCTTGATCATAAATTTGATGATTACTCTTTGTATATTGATTGAAAAAGGCAGAAGCCATGTTGTACAGTTCTGGGGATCCCCAGTGCAGATAAATTCTCAATTCAGTCAGCACTGTTGTGGTCAACCATTCAACTACTTATTATGCATGCACCTGACTTTCTGAGAGAGAGAATTGCCTGTATTTCTACAGCCAATAAAAAAAAATTATCAAATAGATCCTTTGATTGCCAAGTCTAAACTCATAGTCTTCCCTTTCTAAGAAAAGAAATAATGTCATACTCTATGCTAAGAAGAATTAGACAAATTTGAAATCAGGCAATGGAAAAGAATAGGCTTTCGTTTATTATATACAACTTGAAATCATGTAAATCCTACTTTATTCCTATGGGGAAATTAGTCTTGATTTATGCAGGTTTTGAATTACATGAGATCTTAAGGAAAATGTTCCATGTATTAAAAGAAGTCACAATTCATTCGTTCATTTACTTAACATGCCTTAGTGAACCCAAGCTGGCTTCCTTGCCAAGATCTTACAAAGCATTTTGTAACACTCCAACCAAGACTCTTGCCCAAGGGGTGGCGTTGAGACTGTGGACTGCTGGTGTGTAGGTACTGCTGCACCTGTGTACAACCAGAAATCTCAGCTCAGTGTTTGGTAGTATTTCTTCCTCCTGTAAGCAGACCTGTTTGGGGAACTGCCATACAGTGCATAGTTAGCCTCAAAATGCAGTCGAATGCATATGAAATAACTGGATTCCTTTCAAAGAAAAAAAGAGGAAGGAAGAGAAGGAGCGAAAGAAACTGAGAAGTTGAATGTGGTTACTTTGGGCACCTGCTCCTTTCTCAGTACTTATCCCTTTGTCTAGCATGTCATGTGTATTTAAGCATCCAGAGCCTCCTGTTTTTGTCCAAAATATGAGATGGTAAAGAAGAAACAGATGGAGAAAAGTTTTCACATTTGCTTTCAAATAAATTTCTTTACAGAAGGTTAAAATACCTAAAGAAATGGAAAAGACAAATTTGCTAAAGATGGTTGTACTAAAGAAATGGAATTTGGGGAAACAAAAAGCAAAGATAATTGTATTAGTCTTCAAACAAATAACAAAACAAAAACAAGTACAGGGCCCGGCGCAGTGGCGCAAGTGGTTGGGGTCCTCGCCTTGCACGCCCGGGATCCCATATGGGCGCCGGTTCTATCCCGGCAGCCCCGCGGCCCGGAAAAGCAGTTGAGGACAGCCCGGGGCTTTGGGACCCTGC